CTTTTAAATAATGTTCTATGCTGGGTTGCCAGGTCATGAGACTGAGGTAAACGAACTTAGGATCCAGCCTAAGTCCCACAACCACCATGGTCCTGCCCCTGCCACACACCCAAAATGCCTCCTTCTGGGGACTAGCATTACCCTTGACTATGTAAGCTTCAGCTTGACTGCCTGAGTTGAGATGAACAAATGGCAGTGGCATATTTTCTGCCCATGGCCAGATTAAGACCTTTAGAGGCCCTGAGCACTTAAAAGATTTTGGTGCCCCATATATACACCTAATTCAAAATAGAAACAATAATAGACCGTAAAATACATTTTTCAAAATGAAACAAAACCCACGGTAAGGTGGAAAACAAATGTTTCTTTCTGTATATTTCCACTTTTATATTTATATTTATATTTTTCTCCTAGTTTTTCTGCTTGCAAAGTCTTTGATCAGATCCTCAAAACTAATCTTACATAGTGCATCTGTGTCTATACTTAGTAGAGATAAGGCACCCAGCCTGCCTTGTTGCATAGTTGTTCTGTTGGGATTTTTTATTATATTTCCAGTAATAAAATGAATGCTCAGCTAAGCAATTTGTGACTTTTACTGTTAAAAATCCAGCAGTGGAAAATTTCTTGATGCCCTAAGCACATGCTTATTTTGCTTAATGGTTAATCTAGCTCTGCTTGTTTTCAGCTGGGGTTGGGGGACATTGGCTGAGCCAGGTTGAGTCAAGAATCATGTTCCGGGGCTGAGACAGAGGAACGCCTGGGGTTGATTCAATTTTCCTAAAGCTGGAGCGCAGCTTGGCAGTCAGGGTAGTAAAAGAGGGGATTAGCAGAGCATGTATTTTGTAGCAAAGAATAGAGGCTTATCTAGGTGTGTCCTCTGAAGTTCCTTAGGGCCCTAATGAACAAAAGTTTTCTCTCAGTAAAGGTGAATGGGAAAACCTCAAGGAGTCACAGCTCAGTTCCTGGAGGGCAGGACAAACCACTTGGTTGAGCCAGAGATCTGCCACATACTAAACTGCTCATCCTGGTGGTCTTAGACATAGGATTACCCTCTTCGTCTATGTGTACTCAGTATTTATGAATGGAGATGTTTAACCTAACAGTTATAACAAGGAAGCTACTGCTATGCCATCATCTTTAAGATAATTTTACATTTTCCAATATTTTTGTGCACTAGAATTTGATCATTTATGAAACTAACTTCCACATACTTATTTGCATCCCCAACAGATTTTTAAACAATCCTTATTTATCACATCAATATTGTTAACATCTTCCACATTTGTATAAGGGAATGCTCTACTTTGTTTCCTTTCAGAAAAAATTAGGGGTAATATTTATTTTCATTTTCTTCTTATTAGCGCATTTTCTTCTCTCAGTCATATGCCCTAAAATAGTTCAAGATTCTAAATGTTTATGAATTCATTTTAAAAACACCCGAGCGTATAAAATTTGGTCTGCATATTATAAATATAATTTTATATTTCATGGAATATGTACATGACACATCCTAATTTCTTTGGATTGCAGTTTCTTCTCATGTTTTAGAAAATCTACTAACTGAACCTCACAATTAATCAGCTCCAGAGTTAGGATTTGCCTTAGAATTAGTATGGTGGGTTTAAACAACACCTTACCTAGTGCTACTATATTATTCTAAAGCAGCTTTATACTCCACTCTATTTGAATTTTAACTGGATTAGTTTGATCAATATCCTTTTGCATTCTCATCCCACAAACCTCCAGCCATCAACTTCAGAGCCATCTTATTCAGTCCCTCAACAAGCAGTTTGGGGACTGCAGCATTAATAAATTGTTAACACTACTGTACTATTAATACAGCTAGGGAATGTTGTGTCAGCTAAATGAATAGAATAACAGGTAGACAGCTGAGATTTTGAAGAATGGCACTGGAGAACAACAATGTCTGAGCTCCTAGTTTGAAGGGTGACTATACTATTGTGCTTTTTTTTAGCTGTTTCAATGTGCTTGCCATTTATGCAGATAGCTTTTTTATGCAATTTGGAATGGATAACTCCGTAAATCTCATCTCACTAGAGAGGAAACCAAAGAGCAACATTATTATAATTTTAACAAGCCATAATGATAGGATTCTTGCTGTACATAATGTAAATATCTTCTGTGCCTGGTCCATTATATACAGTAAGTTGCTATTTTCCAATTACCTTTTTTTGACAAAGCAAACAAAACACAAGCTCTTACAGATGTCGTTTCATAGTCATAATTTATGATCTTTGAATTTTGTGAAATTTTCAACCACACAGAGTCAATAACTCCAAAATACTGTAAGGACTAATTAAAGCTGTCTGAGAGGCATGAGACAAAGGAAACAGAATAGAGTGACAGTTAACAACAATTCATGGTTGAATAATGCCCAAAAGGTGCTTCAACTGTGCTTGCATATCATGTATAAAAGTATAATATATTTACAACTGCTCAGTATGCATTAGAATGACATGTAATATCTAGGTGTCTGAGATCAGTTCTGGGGTGGATCTGGACAAATAAGCCAAAGTTTTGTCCAGATAAAACTGAGGTACTCTTAGCCAGGAAGACCATTGACCTGGATGGAGGCTGTAACTGGTTTTAGATGGAGGTGCACTCCTCTCAAGAGCCAGGCACACAGTTTCTCTTAGACTTGACACTGTCTATGGAGGCTCAAGAGAATGAGGTGAGGTGTCACTTCAGAATGCAGGAAAGGGATCCTAATTTTGAATGCACTTCTTCCTGATGTAGATCTTCACTCACCCCTTCTTCCCTGGTGGGTGAGGGTGGGTTCCATTTTGTGATTTGCCTCAGGTGCCAAAATGTCTTGGGCCAGCCCCTCCCTCCATCACCTTCTCTAGTTCCCATACAGCCTTTGGGATTCCCAGATGCAAAAAGCACACCTACATAGATCTGAAACTCTACTCCGTCTGCCATCAAAACTGTTTTCATTGCAGATCACAGAAACAGTGATGTCATCGCAAAAGCCACAGTCAGATTTGGTTCAGCCATGAAACTCACAGTTGCTCAACCTCACTAGGATTAAATGGGGAGGAACAGAACCATGTGCACCACCTTGTGCTCCTTTGAGAAAAGGTGGAACATAAATGTAATTAATGTAATAAATTAATGCTTGGCTAGAACTACTTTCCTCAAATGTCAGTCATTGCTAGGAGTTCATTCATTGGCTAAAAACACTGAAAGATGGGAGCAGGCTCACAAAAAAATGCAGAGAATTCTTTCCTCATGTTTTGCCTCATATCTGAGGGCTCTACAAGCTGGTAATCTAGCAATTAAGACTCATCTAAGAAGGGCAGTTTCCCATTTTGGCATTGTTGGACACCTGCCAATACCCATCTACCCCCAGCAACCCTCAGAGCCTTCAGGTTCAGCCATTCCTACTCCTGTCACAACCTGTTTCTCTGGCCTGTCTGAGAATGAAGGAAGTGACAAGCATGAGGAGGAGAAGAATATCTTACACTTGCCTTCTGCATTTCCTCTGGATTCCTGTGTGGACTGGGCTCAGACAGGAAAGGCAAACTATGGACAGACGTGGGAGCTGCTGCTACTATTTTTACTATGTGATGCCATCACAGTTACTAGAAATATTTGTGGCAATGGAGGGAATGTCACCCAAACTGCAACTGAACCATCACACACACACACACACACACACACACACACATTGAAAATCTTCTGAAACATTGTGGAGCTCTCAAGAGCCAATTTTTGTGCCAAAATATATTCAGCTCTAAATATTCAACATAATTCTATTAATTTATTTTTTGTTCATAGTAACTATCAATGTTCTGGAAATAAAGCATTTGCAAAACTGATAAGTAACACAGTAGATCTCCCCCCCTCCCCGTGCCCTTTCAGTAATCATGAAGATCTCCCTTTGGCAGACCCACACAAGGAAGGTCTCATGTTGACTTAGAAAAATAAATAAATCTGGAAACTTATGCCTCTACATGTGTCTTCCTTCTCTCCTAATGTGGAAGATAAGTAATCTGGTTATATGAGCCTTCTTTGCCAAAGAACATAAATGGCTCAAGGGTAGAATTCTCCAGCTATTTTTAAAACCTCTGAAAAATTGGAAATCCAATGCGCTGAAAAGTCTGACTTGACCTAATAGCCACAAATCTTTATCACGAAATCCATTTACTGCTGTCAATTTGGTCATTTCCACTGCTTCGGAATGAAAGGAGAAAAATATAACTCATGTTCTGTCAGTGTATAATTAAATGAGATTTATCAGTGGTAAATATGACTCTTGGATTTTTTTTATAAAAAAAATCAGGCACAATTAAATTAGGTAGCATGACATCTTTGAATTAAAGAGCTCGGGTCTGTTATTAGAGTAATATTCTCTTGCACAAAGGGTAGGGTAATAATCATGTCATTCACAGAAGATAGACTGGTGAATCACCATGCTACCACTAATGGCATGTTCAGGCATTCAGCTGAGCAGACAAATGGTCAGTGTGTGGACAGGAACATATCACAACCCTCATCCTCATTCTTCTTGTGTGTATTGCCTACTAAGTTCTTGACTTTCCCATGCTTCATGCAGAAGATCTCTATGAGGTTTCCACTCATATTCACTTGAACACGAGTAAAGCATCCTATGCAATCAGAAACCTTGCTTTCTCATGTGGAGGATTCCACACATAGAAACATAGGAAGTTGCCTTATACTGCCAAAGACCATTGGTCCATCTAACTCAGTACTGTCTACACTGACTAAGAGTGACTCACCAGGGGTTCAGGCAGAAGTGACTCCCAGCTCTACCTGGAGATGCTGGGGATTGAATTTGGGACCTTCTCCTGATGTTCTACCACTGAATTATGGTCCTTCACTAGTTCATGTTCAAGCAAATGTCATAATGCAAACCTTCCCTACACAGAAAGGCCAGGGACATGATGTTTCAAGGGAACTTAGCATTGTAGAGTTGGAAGGGACCATTTAGTCCAAGCCCCTGCAATGCAGGGATCTTTTGCCCAATGTGGGACTCGAACCCACAACCCAGCGATTAAGAATTTTGTGCTTTACCAGCTGAGCTGTCCCAGAAAGTTTCCAAAACTCATGGGAGTTCCCACAAGTACAGGAACGTATAGAAAACAAGGTGGTTGGGGCAGAGCTAATACACTCATCCTCACTGTTCCCTCTTCTCATGTTAATTTGACATCCCTCCATAATGAATGTCTGAGTCGGGCTTTAAGGTTTCTAGGACACCTTCACAGGCATTAAGGTTTCTAGGACACCTTCAGGCATTGCAATGAAAACCAGAAGGAGCAGACAAATACAATACTTGGGCAAAGCATCTGGCATTCTGGGAAAATGTTTTCCTTACAAATATCTTCCAGAAGAACCCAGGTAAATAAAATCCCTCCATTAGTTAAAGTCCCAGATACTGTTTCGCACTGAGACCACCGACAACAAAGCCTCTTCACTTCTTGAAGGTTTTTCTTATTGCATGTTCTACATAATGATGATGTGGCATAGAAGCGTGTGATGTGTTTAATTTTTTTTCAAGGTACTAATATGCTTTTATCCTAGGAAGATTGAGCTAATGCCTTTCATCATAATTAAAGAGCAACATGGGTTTTGCATTGCACTTAAGCTAAGAATATCTTATGGGTGTCCTCCTGAGCCCTAGAGCATGAAGAGCAGGAAGAGGGAGCTTTTCCTTCCTTCCATGCAGCTAAAAGGGAAACTATTGTGCTTTTTTCTGTTCAGAGGATTGATTTTGGATGGGGCAAACTATTGGAAATAAACCGATTTCAATGCATGTTGATTCCCTTCCCACCTTAAGCAAAGCTTTCTTTAGAAAGGCCTGAGCTTTCACCCTAATACACATTCTATAGACAGACAGATAGATAGATGACAGATACATAGATGTTAGAGATAGAGAGATAGATAGAAGAAGAGTTTGGATTTGATATCCCACTTTATCACTACCGTAAGGAGTCTCAAAGCGGCTAACAATCTCCTTTTCCCTTCCTCCCCCACAACAAACCTTATGTGAGGTAAGTGAGGCTGAGAAACTTCAGAGAAGTGTGACTAGCCCAAGGTCACCCAGCAGCTGCATGTGGAGGAACGGGAATCGAACCCGGTTCACCAGATTATGAGTCCACGATAGATAGATAGATAGATAGATAGATAGATAGATAGATAGATAGATGATAGATAGATAAATAGATAGGTTTGTTTGTATACACTGCTTGATTGTAAACAACAACAGCTCCAACTGGTCTTTAATAATGATGATGATGATGATGATGATGATGATGATGCATGGGGGCCACCCCTGTATAGAGAGACAGATCCTTCTCTCCCTGCCCTGGTTCTGACTCTTTGCATTTTAAGGGAAGCCTCCCCTGTCACCAATACAAGTTGCTGCTCTTGAAATATGTGCAACAGCTTCAGAGAGGGGATTTTTGTTGACAGCGAGAGGAGGCGTTAAACTTTCTCTCCTCCACCTTCATGATTTTGAGGCTATTCTGTCTTCCTCTCATCTGCTACATTTTAAAAATCTGCTTGTTCATTTGATTCACGCAGTTAATAGTCATCAGCCACATATAACTGTTCCCCATTCTAGGAACCACTGCCTTCTCTGCTTAGCTCTTTATGGTTGGCCATTGTGAGAAAAAGATGCTGGACTAGGTGGGCCACTGACCTGATCCAGCAGAGCTTGTCTTATGTTCTCCTGACATTCTCCGTGGTCGCCTTATGGTTATGGAACTCCCTCTCCCAAGATATACAATCAGGCTCCCCCCACCCCACTTTTTGTTTCAGGTTACTGCTATTTCAGTATATAGCGGCCTCTGTTTTTGTTTGCTTGTTATACTGGAATGTCTAGCTGTGAAATATTAAAATGAATCAAATGACACAGAAGGGTTTCTACCATTTCTACTGTGGTTATGATAAAGGTAAAGGGACCCCTGACTATTAGGTCCAGTCGTGACTGACTCTGGGGTTGCGGCACTCATCTCGCTTTATTGGCCGAGGGAACTGACCTACAGCTTCCACGTCATGTGGCCAGCATGAATGACTAAGCTGCTTCTGGCAAACCAGAGCAGCCCATGGAAACAGCGTTTACCTTACCGCCAGAGCGGTACCTATTTATCTACTTGCACCTTGATGTGCTTTCGAACTGCTAGGTTGGCAGGAGCAGGGACCGAGCAACGGGAGCTCACCCCGTCGTGGGGATTCGAACCGCCAACCTTCTGATCGGCAAGTCCTAGGCTCTGTGGTTTAACCCACAGCGCCACCTGCTTCCCCTGTGGTTATGATACATTTGCTTATATTTGAAATGGTTTTAAATTGTTTAAAATACTGTAAACTCCCATGGTAAGATACTGATTTTGAACCGCAGATGGAAAAAGGTTTGAACAAACGCATACAATTTCTTACTTCATAGCAAAACAACATGGGGGGGGGAATGTGAAAGAGACAAAAACAAAAACAAAACACTGTGTGACATGGCTTAATAAAGTCCTCATCTAATCAGCTATTGCTGACGATGCTGAAAAACTCGTTGCTAGCTTTACCAGCTCCCAGCAGTTATTACCTTTTTTTCCTTTCAATTGTGCAGTACTCTGCACACTTCCTGGGGAGAAAAATTCCATTAAACTTGGTGGGGAAATATTTCTGGGTAAACATGCACAGGAGTCGGGATCAGATTGGAAGGACACCAAAGTAAACGAGAAGAGGGACCTGTCTCCACTGAATGGCCTGTGGCAGTGGGAGCAGGAATGCCTTGTGGAAACTGAGTGACCTACCACCATTTTTAATAGGGTCTTTTGGAGCTTTCAATATGTTTAATTTTAATTCTTCTTTTTATGCTCCATTTTTATGTTCTACAATTTTAATTCCCTTTGAAAATATTCACACAGTCTCCCGCTACAACTCTAGCACTATTTCTGTGTCTACACAAATTTATACATTTTTAGACATAAAATTCCAGGGGTATAATAATAATGCTTTTAAGGATGTAATCCCTAAGAACTTGAATCTATTAAAAGGTAGTAGTCAAAGTAAACATGACATCTGCGGCACTCGTCTTTAATACTGCAAATATCATTGGCACATCAAAAGATGAAAATAATATGTTAGATTTACTGCTTTGGAAGATGTTGGAATGAGCTTGGGGAATGGTTCCAGCCCCACATTAATTTTGGTGATCTAATAGATTAATTCAATACCTTCAAGCATTTTATTCAGTATATATGGCCTATTTAAAGTGCACTGTCTCTCCCTTACAATGATTAATAGCAGAGCATAAAAATGGGTTAAACATTATTCTTGGCCTTTTCTTTCATCTTTATTCATTAAAATATTACCTCTTTGCACAAAGATTTACACACACTGTCAGCATTTATAATCATCAATCTTCAAGAAGGGAGTTTAATTTTTGTATAAGGTTATTTTTTTAAAAAATGAAATAATTATATTAAAAGTAAATCTTAGTACCCAAGCCACCTTTTCAAATACTTGTCAAATACTTTAAAATGAAACAAAATAATACAATAATCCATTGTTTATCATAAGAGATGTAGGTATTGTACATGCCTGCAAAACTGTCAGAGTTACTATCATAACCCATAATCAGGGCCCTTGTTTTGCCCTGAGGAAAACTCAGATGAGGAAGACTTACAGGTTGTTCTGTTGCGGGGGGAGACAGTAATCATCTAATCCTGTTCCCTCCCATATGGAAGACATGTTAACTCCTCTGTGGAGCCAGGACCAGTTATAGAATAGTGTAGCTCAATTGGTTAGAGTGTGATGCTAATAATGCCGATGTTGTGAGTTTAATCCCCATATGGGCCATTGCATATTCTTGCAATGTAGGGGGTTGGACCTCATGATCCTCAAGGTCCCTTCCAACTCTATAATTCTATGATTCTAGGTCTTGCCAGTCTTCATAATGGCTTGAGTTCTTTGCTGGAGGAACAGACCCCCATTACCCACAACAGGGAAAGAACACCAGCCAACAGTGAGCTTTCCATGGTCCTGAAAAATCCTGCCTGAATTCATACACATTTTGTCAAATCAGTCTACATGCTACTGAACCTTCATTCACCTGACAGGACCTTAATCAGGTATGTCTGTTACTACTTCCCCTTTGGGCTCTAAGCCCAACAGAACATGATAGTTATTTTTATAGTATTTTATACTAAAATTTGAATATAATCAGAGTAGCAAAACAGTTCGCTCTTTTTGTGTCTCTACAGAATCTGAATCACCCTTGTGAAACACCATAGAGTGGTAATCCAATGAATCCTGAATTAATTGCTTAATTCATGATAGAATAATTGAATGTATCCCCTAATTTGAAATAAAGTGAAGGCAGGAGAACTAGATTTGATTTTTATTGCTTATGGTGAATGTAATGCATACTTATTTGTAAGTAGGAACATAGGAAGCTGCATTCTACCAAGTGTGAATATTAGTCCACCTACCTCAATATTGGCTTTCTGGAGTTTCAGATAAGACACTTTCGCAGTACAACCTGGAGACGACAGGTTTCCCTGACTCCATTTCGGAGACATTGCCTTCAACAGAGGAGGCAATTTCAAGTCCAAAGGAATGTGTACAAGCAACTAGGCTATTCGCGTAAAAAGATCTAGGCTCAGGGCCCCAGTATCCTTGAGACCACCTCGCCCCATACCAGCCTATCCAGACCCTGCATTCATCATCTGAGTCCTTTCTTCATGTACCCCCTCCAACAGAGGTGCAGAGAGAGCAGCACAAGATTGAACCTTCTCAGTGGTGGTTCCCCAACTGTGAAATGCTCTCCATAAAGTGATGCACCTGGTGCCATCACTATCAACATTTAGGCACCAGGTTGAGATGTTCTTGTTTACCCAGGCTTTCCACTCATAACTGATGTACATCTTTTAGAGTGGGGTAGAGTGTCTTCCTTTTTCTGCTATTGCAGGATAGGCACTTTTAGTTACTTTTAAGAAATCTTTTCATGTATTTTAATTTGGTATTGTACGTTTTTATTTTAAAAGATTGTAAGTTGGTTTGAGACTTTTGTAGTAAGTGACAAATACATATCATAAAGAAGGAATAAAGAATGAGTGCTTCCACTGGAATGAATGGGGGAACACTTGTAAAAGAGGGAAGATGTGCAAACTGGACTTACAGCACTTGCAAGAGATCACTGAGTCAGGAAAATGCCATCTGTTTTCATCTGTATAACTGGAGGTATCTTCCTTTCTGTGTAACAAGAAATAGTTCTTCAATACAATTAAGGTACCTGTTACAAGAAATATTTCTGCCTGACTGTGTTTTCTTATAAATGGTATGCTAATGGCCCCATATGCGCTCGCTCTCTCTCTCTCTCTCTAGATATATATATATGATAACTTTTATAAACCCTTCTCAACTCAGTATTCAAATACTAAATTGGTGTATCCATCTCTTTCATTATTTAAAATAATTTATTAGTCACCTTACAGTGCTCAAGGCAGCATGGAGCGAGTAATGAAATAAGCTCAACAGCAAAAACAAAAACAAGAAAACCCAACCCTCAGAAAATCTGCATCAGTATAAACAAACAAGCTGATCTGAAAACCTGGTGAAAGAGATGTATTTTATGCCTCTTCTGGAAGATTAAAAAAAAAGGCAAGCCGTCCTACTCATTGCTGAGACACTCTTCCATTTAGATGGAACTTGGAGCAGGTAAACAAAAACAAAAAACAAAGCTGGCATTGGGGGTAGCATAAATAAATAGAGCTGGTCTCTCAAATGTGCTGGATTGTGCTGTTGTTGTGGAAAATTGTGTTTTTATGGAAAATATACTGTGTTGTGTATCCAAAGCAGTGTATCTCCCAACCCACCCAAGCTGATCTGGAGGTGTATGGAGGGCTCCAATGAGGAGGAGAAAGTTCTGTCCCAGTAGCACATGTCTCTTGCACTAGTGTATTGGGAGCATTGGATATCACTATTACTATTACTTTTTCCCTACTTCTAACTAAATTTAAAAATTCAAAGAAAATTGATAAACCAATTCTATTATTGAATTTATGTCTTGTTTTTAAATATGCTTAATTCTAAATGTATATCAGAAGCTGGCAGTGCTGAAGATTTTTTTTTTTAACTTTCTGTTTCAACTTACATAAGGACTGTGACATTTATAAAAAAAAAAATCCAGAACAGGATTCTAGATTTCTGTCAAGTTTCTTAGATTTGTCTCCCAGAAAAGGCTCATGGATACTCATACCATATGTTATGCTTCATTGTGCAGTTATATGAATGATCCATGACCACAATGAGTTACATTCTTCTCTGCAACAGCCTTCAGATACATTTGATCACAAACTCCCATCAAACCTAGGCTTTGCTTGTTGGGACTGTTGGGAATTGTTGCCCAAACCACCTAGAGGACACTAGGCCGGTGAAACCTGCTCTGCAACATAGAAAAATGAGGGATCTTGGAAGCTGAAGGTCGCCGAAGAATAGAATAGAATAGAATAGAATAGAATAGAATAGAACAGAAGAACAAAGAAAAAAATTACATGCACAAGTCTCTTCATGCTAATCAGAATCCCTGGAACTTCATAAAGGATAATGTTTCCACATGTGCAATGAAATGTTAGATCCCTCAGTATTTGTGTAGGGGTGAGGGACACAGTGATCAATGGAACTGATACACTGGGTGCCACTGCATACGTAAAAATGACCCATCTCCATAAATGGGTGTGTGTGATACAGTCAGGGCTGTACAAATATGCCCATGATTAGAAACATCATTTTCCAAATACAAGATACCTGGGGCTACAGTAGCACGCATCATACAAGATTGGTGAGGCAGTGGTACTTACATGACCTCCTGGCATCTGTGTCACTGTGGTTTATTGGGACAATGAGGTCAGAATGGTGCAAATGCACTGGCAGACCCAATCTGGTACTCCTGACAGTGTGTTTGCACCGCACCAATCTTGCCACCACCTCACCCCCTCCCACTCTCGGTATGCTGCAGAGGCACCAGAGACAGGAGGACAGATTAGTACTGCCACCTCACCCTGCTAATTACTACTGTGTTATGATGCTCTCTCATGCCAAACCAAACCACTAGTGCACCTAAGCCAGTACTGTCTGTTCTAACTGGAAGCTGCTCTCTGAGCTTTTGGCAAAGTCTTTTTCATTCCTGCTGCGTGCAATTCTTTAAACTGGAGGTGCTATAGATTGAACTTAGGGCTTTATGCATGCAAAGTGTGTGTTCTACCAATGGGCCATAAATAGAAAAGAGAAAGCATTTGCATTTCAAATGGTCTAATGTTTCTATGTATTACAGAAATACAGAAATAGCAAGAGAAATTTATTGTATGTATGATGGATGGTAAAATTGTTCAGCCGCAAAGAGATGCAGAAAAAGAAATACAAGGCACAGAAGTGCCAAGATTTTCAAGCAGGAAGCATTTGTTCTGTAGAAATATTTGGTTCACCAAAAGAGAAAAAAAAAATGTTGTTCCAGTGAAATCATCTTTGGCTTTGGTTTTTAAAAAGACCGACCAGATTAAGTGTAAAGTGAGCGATGCATTTGATGTAAGGAAAGGGCTGAAAAAAATATTATAAATTCATCAAAATAACACAGGTTCTGAGATTTGTGAGTTAAGGGAGATATAAATTAAAATAATTTTCTCAGTGAAATAGGACTTACTTCTGAATAGACATGTATAGGATTGTACTGCTAGGGTGTAATCCTATGGTGCCAGGAAAGGATCTCGGAGGCATTAGGACAGATCTGACTTTCCTCTCCAAAATGGAGACAGATCTCTGATTTCAGAGAGGGAAATCCCCTACGTGGCCACCATAGTAACCTGAAACCCTTTGACCTAACTGGCATCATCAGAGTGTCAATGTTAGTATAGTCCAAAAGGGTATTGTCAGGGACAGTTCAGGGATGTGCCAGAAAGACAATGAAAATGATTTGGGTCCAAAGGACTCAAAGCCACCCAAATCCCTGGCACGCTCCCATACCTGGGAGATATTTAGGGACGTTGAATATCTCCCAGGAATTTCCCCCCAGTTTTCCCATTTCCGGAGAGCAGTTTAAATGGGTGGGTGTGAAATAGACAGAGGAGTGTAAGAGCACTTCTCTAACTTCAATTCTGCCTTGGTGGCAGAGCTCAGGATAAGACCATTCAGTCACATCAGAATTTGCCTTCTCTTCCGCCATATCACCATCCTTGGAACTGCCATTTTAGTAACTCAAATCCTCTTCATCAGAATCTCCTAATGAGGGCAAATATCTTGTATTAAATCACCCCATAACAATACATACAATAAATACATGTTTTATCATGTTTTTAATATTCTGTTGGGAGCTACCCAGAGTGGCTGGGGAGGCCCGGCCAGAAAGTCATAATGTCATAAATTATTATGATAAATTATTATTACGACATGGCAATGGATCCTTCCATTAGTATACATTTTCCTAATCATTACTTCTATGAAGTATAAGGCCTGAAAATCTTGTTCCTGAAATACAGGGCAGCAGATGGACCAAGCACACAACTCTAATGCACCTATTAAAATGTGGCATGAGCAGTACTGACATATATCTATAGCCATATGTGCACAATTATTTCTTTATTTAGTATTTTCTGGGCACATAACCCCTCACAATGCAACGGTCAGCTAGGAAGGGGCTATAGTTCAGAGATTGAGCATAGACTATGGAGAAGGTCTCAAGTTCAATTCCACGGATCTCCAGGTAGAGCTGAGACCCTGGAGACCCATTGCTTGTCAGCTAGCTTGGTATCCAGGGTCCAATTCAGCAATCCTGGTTGGACCACAGGCAGAACGTAATTGTGCTG